CTCATGAACCGTTGAAATACAGACCCAAGTTCGAATCCAAATGTGATTAGATGAACAGAATAACACGATTCTGAATTACTTGGGGCCACTCAGCTCAATGATGATATCTCGTGGTCGTGGTCCTTTACTACAAATAAAAAATAAAAAATAAAAAATAAAAAATAAAAAGAAACAAACAAACAAACAAGGACAGAGATGTGACTTGTGTTTGACAGGTAGAGGTGAGATATATCTTATTGCATACGAACAACCATGGAGATGATTGTAGTAGTCATCCCAGAAAAGAATCGCCCAACATGTATTCCTGGTTCAATAGAAAATAATCAACCCAATCATAGAGGTGTTTCTGGTTTAACAGGTTGAACAAGAGGGTTTTAGAACAAAGTGAAAAAGACAAAGAATGGCAAGGTAAAGAAGGAGAGAGGGTCAAGGAGGAGGGAGGTGGGTTGGTTCAGGGGGATCGGTAAAGGCAAGGAGAGAGGGAAGGGGACAGAAAAGAAAGGGCACTCACTTGTTTCCCGCTAGGTTAAGTATCCACAGAGACTCCTTGAAGAGAGTGTCTGGGATAGTCCCACTAATCTTGTTATTCCCAATTGAAAAAATTGTCAATGACGTCAAGTTCCCAAAATCTGGGGAGATGGTTCCACCAATCTGGTTGTCATTGATTATAAATTGCTGCAGCACGAGCTGCGGTGAAAGTTTTGCGGGCAAAGATCCGACTAAGCTGCATTACCCACAAACACAGATCCAAGTGGACATTCCACACGCGGACATGTCAGTGTCCATAAATCACCGAAATAATCGGTGAGATTCAAATTGTCAAATTTATCCACAAGCTTATCCACAAATTTCAAAATTCTAAATTTATCCACAAACGTATCCACAAATTCCGAATTTGAAACTTACCCACAAGCGTATCCACATGTCAAACAGCCAAACAGATGAAACTCCCACATGCTATCTGGGGTCGACAAGATCTTCCAGTTGTCTCCCTACAAGCATTTATTTTTCCTTTAGCATGCTTCATAAAAGTTACTTTTGGAATAAAGTGAAACTTTCCCACTGGGCAAAGCATGCCAGCAGTAGTACTCAAGTCTATGCGAACCCTACGAGATAGTGGTCACCTATCATATGACTCTCTATTCTTCTTGTTTCGTAGTTCCAGTCTCTGAACGAGTGAGTGAGTGAGGCAATCTTCCAGGCCAAAGGAAAACACTTAAGGTGTTAAGCTTGGGCTTTTCAGTGTTTTCACAAATCAGTTTCTGGGTTTAACATCCTTGGATTTACATTTCTGGGGTTTGTCTGCACGGTGTGTCTGTGTCAATCATCCTAATCATCCACGATTTGACTGGCACATAGAGCAAGAAAGCCATGCCAGTTTAGAACAGAGAAGAGTGGAGAAGTGCAGAGCTTCAGAAAAAGGGAAGAGGAGAAGAATGATCAAAAGATGTAGTCTACTCTAGGAAAGGGAACTGAAAAGCAATTGGTAAAACTGTGAAGTAAACTGAGTACAAAATCCAACTAACAAACATGCTTCTGAAGCTGGATTTGAGACTGGGTCCCAGAGTTCGTCGAATGGTCCCTCAGTCTGGTAGGAAGAGGAAGAGGAAGAGGAGGAGGAGGAGGAGGAGGAGGAGGAAGAGGAGGAGGACGAAGAAGAAGAAGAAGAAGAAGAAGAAGAAGAAGAAGAAGAAGAAGAAGAAGAAGAAGAAGAAGAAGAAGAAGAAGAGGAGGAGGAGGAGGAGGAAGCAGAGGAGAAGGAAGAAGACAAAGAAGACGACGACGAAGAAGACGAAGAAGACGACGACGAAGAAGACGAAGAAGACAAAGAAGACGACGAAGACAAAGAAGACGACGAAGACGAAGAAGAAGACGAGGAAGACGAAGAAGACGAAGAAGAAGAAGACGAAGAAGAAGACGAGGAAGACGACGAAGAAGACGACGAAGAAGACGACGAAGAAGACGACGAAGAAGACGACGACGAAGACGACGAAGACGACGAAGACGACGAAGACGACGAAGACGAAGAAGACGACGAAGAAGAAGACAAAGAAGACGACGAGGAAGACGACGAAGAAGACGACGACAAAGAAGAAGACGGCGAAGAAGACGACGACGAAGAAGACGACGACGAAGAAGACGATGACGAAGAAGACGACGACGAAGACGACGACGACGAAGACGACGACGAAGAAGAAGAAGAAGAAAAAGAAGAAGAAGGAAGAAGGAGGAGGAGGAGGAAGAAGAAGAAGAAGAAGAAGAAGAAGAAGAAGAAGAAGAAGAAGAAGAAGAAGAAGAAGAAGAAGAAGAATGACAGCAGCAGCAACAGGATTTAAGAACTTGAAACCAAAAGCTTTTGTCCATGAAGAACAAGAAGAGCAATGAAAGGAGTACTGACTTCTGTTCTTCGATGGCTTTTGGCAAGAGAGCTTGTGGGGCAGGGGCAGAGCACACAGCTTCCTGGACAGCTGCAACGTCACCTCGCATGTGCAATGACGTGACACACCACTGGTTTAGGCTGTAGGGTACAAGGTTTAGGATTGAGGGTTTAGCGCATCGAAGCAGGTCTTGCATGGCACACCCTAACTAGGGGAAATTTCCGTCCCAACCGTATGGGGTCCCAGACTTCCCTGGTTGGAGGCTGCTGGTTGACCCGTTCCTCCAAGGCCACAGCCCGTACATGTGATGCCTGTCGTCAAGGTGGACCAGGCTGAACTAGTCTCCGCAATCCGAAACCCTACCTTCTTCCCCCGAATACAACGTACGGTAATTATAGCTGTATTTGGGGTATCTTTCAGTCTAAATACAGTTATAATGACTGTAAGCTGTATTCAGGATAAGAAGGTAGATCTTCCGATGCAATTTACATAACAGAAAAACAATGTAAAACACTAGATTTTTTCCATGAAAACAAAATAGACAGAAGAAATGTGATCTCCATTACACCCTTCCTTTTGTGCACCCTTTCTCTCGAATGACAATGCAAGGGCCCGATGTCAAAATCGGCACAGAATAAATGTTAGGGGGGTGGCCTTTGGTCCAGCCAAAAGTCTAGGGTCAAAAGTCGGTCCTAGAGCCCAGAGAGTCCATAGGTTGGGAGGTCTGGCTGGGATATCCAGGGTGAAATCGAGGTGCCCAGGGCCTCTAGGAAAATCAACAGCCAGGAGCTACACACGTACCGAGATCAAAGAGTCAAAGATTTTTCAGGAGTAAACCACTACCATAGATCATATGCAGTCCGAAGGTTCAGGAGCAGTTTCCGGGAGCTCCCAGGCCCACTGGGTTAAGGAACACACTGGCTGCAACGCATTCTTGGCTGTATTAATCAAGAAATCTCAGCCATCCGNAGCAGTTTCCGGGAGCTCCCAGGCCCACTGGGTTAAGGAACACACTGGCTGCAACGCATTCTTGGCTGTATTAATCAAGAAATCTCAGCCATCCGCGGAGGCAATGTGAGGCATACCAGGCCAAGCCAACACTGCAAATCTTGGCCTTCCCCAGCTCATGCATTCATTCTGCCTTCCGTACCGAGATCAAAGAGTCAAAGATTTTTCAGGAGTAAACCACTACCATAGATCATATGCAGTCCGAAGGTTCAGGAGCAGTTTCCGGGAGCTCCCAGGCCCACTGGGTTAAGGAACACACTGGCTGCAACGCATTCTTGGCTGTATTAATCAAGAAATCTCAGCCATCCGNAGCAGTTTCCGGGAGCTCCCAGGCCCACTGGGTTAAGGAACACACTGGCTGCAACGCATTCTTGGCTGTATTAATCAAGAAATCTCAGCCATCCGAGGAGGCAATGTGAGGCATACCAGGCCAAGCCAACACTGCAAATCTTGGCCTTCCCCAGCTCATGCATTCATTCTGCCTTCCGTTGCTGAAGGCTGAAGAGGCAGATAAGGGGGGAGAGAGAGAGAGAGAGACAGACAGAGAGAGAGAGAGAGACACAGAGAGAGAGAGACACACAGAGAGAGAGAGAGAGAGAGAGAGAGAGAGAGAGAGAGAGAGAGAGAGAGAGAGAGAGAGAGAGAGTTTGCATATTCGCGAGTGTGATATTATTGCGTTGGAGAGTGACTTTGATTCTAGGAAAGAGATATGGTCTTTCTCATTGCTAGAAAGATAAGTGATGATTGCAGAGGTGGCAAGAAGAGAGAGTCGGTTCTCCTAGTCTCCTTGAGGCTTGTCTGCTTCGCTATCTCTTTGTGAAATGTCATTTGATAATCTTTCCTTTGTTTCTTCTTTTCTTCTTTTTTTCCTCCAACCGTAACTGGTCGTTTAGATCAGACTTCCATCTTTATGACATCCCGTTTCATTAACACGGCTGGAAACTCGGTCCAGCATCCCTCACAAAGCGAAGCATTCGATAAGCATTCTACAGTCCCATCTCTTTGCGAATTGTCATGCGTTAAGCATTTTGAGTTTCACGCATGACGTGGATGGTGTGAGCTTGTCAAAGTTGGTGTGAGTAAAGAGTTTGAACCCACAGTCTGCTACCTTGTCTACATCCTTGTCAATGGTGTGAGCTTTCACGCATTCTAACGTCCTCTCTCTCTCCATATCTTTCTCAGACTTACTGCCATCCTTGTCAAGGGTTCGAACCCACAGTCTGCTACCTGCTTCCACCAAATACAACGTACAGTCATTATAGCAGTATTTAGACTGAAAGATACGCCAGATACAGCTACAATGACCGTCCGTACGTTGTATTCGGGGGAAGAAGGTAGGATTGCAGGGTCTGTGTGAGTAAAGGTGACCACATTTCTCTCTCAGGGCCATTGCTAACTCTGGGCGAGGGGGTGAGTCCTCGTCCACTCAAGTCAAATGCATCCTGGGCAGACTGTCCGGATTCAAACTCCTGTTCAGTCGGTGAATGTCCTACGAAACGGTCCAGCACAGTCATGCTTTTCTGATGGAGTTGTGTATAGGGACCATGACAATTGGAGCTGTAGCAGGCAAAAGTGGCGGTAGCCAAAGTACACATATCAAAAAGGCATGGGAAGTATGTTCACACACTGATTATCACAGAATGATGCAAGTACCTGTTGTATTCAATGGAGAATGAATACAGCCCCGGATTCTCCAAGTAGCAAAAAGGGATTTCCCCTGTGAACTGCCAAACAAAGCGGGGCGGGGAAAGAACAAAAACGTTAAAAAAAAAATCTCAGCTCCAGAAAAACCTGCCAAATTTTGCTCCTCTCTCTCTCTCTCTCTCTCTCTCTCTCTCTCTCTCTCTCTCTCTCTCTCTCTCTCTCTCTCTCTCTCTCTCTCTCTCTCTCTCTCTCTCTCTCTCTCTTCTGGCGTGTGCACGTGCGGGCACGCTTTGGCATTCTCTGTTCGACTGCGCATTCTTGATTTCCGTGCTAAAGAGGAAACAAACAAATAAAAAGAAAGACTTCGTCAGCGTATACAATCTCATGTGCTGCAGAGTCAACAAACCATCTCAAGATGTAAGCCGAAGCATCACCATCTGGCAAGAAGCTGATGATTGCACAGCTAAAAGATGACCAACTAACAAACCTAATCTGACACCAAATGGCATCATCTGGTAACCAACAGATATTTGGGAAAAGCAAGATCTGCTTGGATACCAGGGGCAGTGTGACAAGATAAAAAATACATAGATGGTCCTTTGGGGCATCCGTTAAATTGAAACGATACCGAGATGATTAGCATGGCGCCTGCCCAAGGATGACACGCATACAATGAGAAACGCTCCAAAAAAAAATAAGATCATTTAGGGTGGGAAAAGGGAAGGAAAAAATCTATGGTAAAAGACATCCTTTTTTCTGTTTACGCTTTTAAGCGGCAATAGGCTATTAGCATATCCTTACTTCATGGTTAGACTCTTCAGAGTTGAGGGTTTAGCATCGTAGGGGAGGGAAGTTGCAAAGGCATACTGATTTCATAGTTTGGAGTTTAGGGTTTAGCGTCTATCATAGTTTAGGGGTGAAAAAACGTTTTGCGTCTATTATGGGGGAGGAACATTGCAATAGCATGTCCTAATTTTCATGGTTTAGAACTTCAGAGTTTAGGGTTTAGTATCCATCATTGGGGTAGTACATCACAATAGCAAATCCTGACTTCATGGTTTAGACTCTTTAGAGTTTAGGCCCTGTAGGGTTTAGCATCCATCATGAGGGAGCAAAAAGAGAAACAAGAAAAAAAGCAAAAAAATCCGGCCAATGTGACAGTTTCAGTGCAAAATTCGGCAAAACAAACACCCCCGATTAACCGCATGTACATTGCAATGGCATATACTGATTCTCATGGTTTAGACTCTAGAGTTTACATGGGGAAGGAAAGCTGCAATAGCACCCTGATTTCATGGTAGCATCGTGGGGGAAAGTAAAAGTTTTTAACGGCATCCATAGGGTTTAGCATCCATCATGGGCGAGGTACTTCGCAAGTATATATACCAAATCCTGACTTCATTCATGGTTCAGATTTCTTAGGGTTTAGGGTTTAGGGCTTAGCATCCTGGAGGCGGTGAAGTGGTCTCTCTTCATATGCAGGGATTTATAGCACGAGCGAGCGGAGATTATTCAGAAGTTAGTAAATTACTAAATTAGAAAGGAGTTTACCTGACTGTTTTCCAAATTAGAGAATCATAAAAATAGGAAATGCCGGACTCTTCGGCTTTCAAACTGTTCATGAGCAGCAGGGGAGTTAGTATGAATGATTAAAGACTACTGAAGATTATATGGGGAATCGGGGATCACAAATTAACTAGTAAAATAAATGTAAAATTAGTAATTAGTAATTAGTAATTTGAGAGTGAAATAAGTACGAGCTCATGATTCATGTGAATGCCTGAAAGGTTAAGAGGGGAAAAAAAAATGAAAAAATAAAAAGCGTAGGGATGGCTGCAGCATGAACTGTTGAAAGATTTGATCGGTGAGAGAAAGAGAGAGAGTAAGCTTGTTTTTTTTTTTCTGTACAATTTTTGTACTTCTTTTCTCCGCTTTTTTAGAGCCGAGATTTTTTGACTGCCCCATCACCTTGTTATGCCCAAGGCCGAGATGCTCCAAGGACCTTGAAGCTAACTCACAGGATATAGATCCACTTAGATTGTTTCTTGAGAGGTCAAGGTCCTGCAGGACACGCACCCACCCACCCACACACACACACACACACACACACACACGGACAGACACACACACACAGACACACACACAAGCAGTTTTATGTCTGTCAGTCTTTCTTCTGTTGTCTGTCCTCCCCCTGATTTTTTCTAAGTATTTTTTTGTGTGCCCAACCAAGCACCCTTAAGTAGTTCCAAACAGTCGGTGGTTCCGCGTTTGGAGTGCCTACTGCACTCTTATGAGGGCCGCTCGGTTCGGGATGTCTGTGTTGCCTGTCAGTGATGACGGATGTTCGTCGGAGTGACTCCCTGGCTCAATGGGTGGTGGGAACCAACAGTCTGTGGGGTTCAATCGTGATGTGAGTAGGTCATGTGCTGCTTTGCTCCGTGTTGGATGTGTGGACGTCCTCGTCTGCGCTCCACCGCTGCCCTGCTTCCTGTCCCGCTTGCTTTGCATGTGGTTCTTTGCAGGTTGATGTGTTCGCTCTGCGGTGTGGCAGTGTTGTTGGTGTTGCCTTACGCTTCGCTGCTCCGCTGCCGTGCTGCTCATCTGCTGGCTGTGCCTTCCGTGCTTGCCGCTTGTGTGCCCTGTAGGTTGGTTGCCTTGTTGCAGGTGCCTTGTGCTCCGCTCCACGAATGCCGAGCTGCTGGTCCACTCGCCCTGTCGTCCCCTGCAGTGCTGTTGCCTTGCTTGTGTTGTCTTGTGCTACACTACACGGTTGCCGCACTGCATGCCCTGCGTGCCATGTCGCTCCTTGCAGTCGTTTTTGGCGTTGCGCAGCCATGTTGCCTATATTGTGTTGCCCGGTGCTCCAAAGGGTTGCTGCCCACTGCTATGTTCCGCTTGGGGACAGTCTGCCTTCAACAAGGGTCAAAGGGTTAATGACCCAAACCATCAAATACGGAGATTCCGCAGATTGTCGAGGGTTCAGCCTCCTGATGAGTCGGTGCAACTCCGATGAAACAATCTATCATGTTTTGTTTTTTTCGCTTTGTGTTTTTTTTGGCTGCTGGTCCTTTTGTCTGCCTTGTTGCCTTGTTGCCTTGTTGACTTGTTGCCGGGCTGCTTCTCGACTTCCTGTCCGTTCTTTTCTTGCTTAGTGTTGTTTGTCTGCCCACCCGCCTCCCCCATGCCCTCCAGCCTGCGTTCTGTGTTGTTGCTTCACCGCCCTAGTTCTACTTCTTGACCTGTTGTTGCCGCCTCATTCTTCTGCCTAGTGCTGTTTGTCTGCCCGCCCGCCTCCCCCATGCCCTCCACCCTTTGTTCTTTGCTGCGGCGTGTCATCCAAGTACCGTGTTGTGTCTTGACCTTAGCCTTGCTGTTTTGTTTGCCTTGTTGCACTCGTCTTACCGCTGGTCGGTTTGTTTTTTTAGTTTTTTGTTTTTTGTTTTTCGTTTCATGGCTTTTGAAAGCTGGGCTTTATAAGCATTATTTTCTATGGACATCTCAGGCTGCGGGCTCTTTCCCGGTGTTGTTTATAAGCACACCTTCCGACGCAACATGCTGCGACGCGGTCGCAGAAGCCACACAATAGAAACATAACACACACACACACACACACACACACACACACACACACA